TCTTTTCTCTATCAATTATTTGTTGGGCAAAAATCTATTGAAAATTGAATGAGAATTGTCTCAATGAAATTAGTTTATGAAAAGAGGTAGTGGGATTAGTGTTTATATTATTTGTAACTCCTGTAATATGCAGAGGTTAATGATACATTAATGACCAACCATAAAGGCAGTTTGCTCAACTATTAACTTCAAAATTTTGAGATTAGTTGAGATGAAAACAAATTCATCGGACGCTCAATTATAAATATGATAATAATAATATATTATTAATTGGTCAGTTGTCGGTTGTCTCTTCTTTTGTTACTGTATATATATATGTATATATTTTAAATTATTATCATATGGGAAAGGTCCATGTGCATTTTAAAAAATGTGCATATAATATGCATCTTATATAAAAAGTGAAATTTTTTGCTCATCACAAAATAGTATAACGTTTATTGTAAAAAAACATAGAGAAATCCTACAATCTACCTTCTTAAAAAGGTACAATCAGAAAGAAAAGTAATAATTTTTTATAATGAAATTACAATATTTTGTGATAGAAATTACAATTCTATTGATGAAAGTTATATAAATGGTAAAATATAGTGTGTACCTTTGAAGGTACAAATAAAAAATTATGCTTTTTGTGATAAAAATTTACTCCCTTTGTAATGAGTAAAAATTATATATATATATATATATATATATAATTGTGGGTATAAAGTGTCTATCATCGGTAGTTTTTTCCTATGTATATATAGCATTTGTTGTGAGTGCAAAATTCCAAATCGAAATGAGTAGGGTAAGAATGCACAAAGCTCAATCAACATACAATGAACCAAAGGGAAATCATTAGCAACACATTATCGACGCTTCTCACACTAACCAACAAAAGAGTTTGGCGAAAGAAGAGACAAAAGAAAAGAATTATTTATGGTTTTTTTTTTTATTTTTTTCTGACTTGTATCGTTTATGTCAATTTTTCAACGCATAAATTGTTACATGTCCCAATCAAAACTACAAATTTAAAATCTTGCTTATCACAAAACAATGTTATTTCTTAAGCATCGTTTATGTCAGTTTTCAACGCAATAAATTATTACATGTCCCAATCAAAACAACAATTTAAAACTTGCTTATCACAAAA